CTTTTTTTTTTTTTTTACCGACCTTACACACGAACTAGAGAACGCCCATTGTACGGACGCACTTGCCTGAATACTTAATCATCACAAACGTAATTGCTAGGGCCCACTTCCACTTCCACGAAAACCCTTGTCGTGTTTTGTATCCTGTTCTCCTTTCTTTAATATATTATCTTAATTTACAGGGTAGATTATAATTATCTTTCTATACAATATCAACCAAAATGTGTCTATTTCAAAGATGGTACTGCAGATTCATTCTTCGACATTCTTTTGTTTTAGTAAGGTTTAAAGGCGCTCGCAACAGCATAAGGTTTCTGTTCCTAATCTGTTTCTCAAGTTTATAATGTTTTCTAGGACAGAGGACTATGCACATTGTTAATTAACTGCGCGCAAGAGAAAGGTTGTGTGTAAAAAACGCCTCCCTCTCGAGATCGTGTCCAGCCAAGAGGATGTCAAAGGTATAGCAAAGTTACTGGCGACAGAATTGAGAAAAAATTAGCAGCACACGCGAGAAGGAGAAAAAGAAATGTTTAACTTACTCCCTCTCTCACTGTCTCTCCCCCCCCCTCCCCACCCCTTTCTCTCTCTCTCTCTCTCTCTCTCTCCTCTCTCTCTCCCCCCCCCCCTCTCTCTCTTTCTCTTAAACCACAGTTGCGCACAGAAATGAATACCTCATATTTATCAGGCATTTTATCTTTATGCAAGCCTACATCTGCGGTCATGTAACAGGAGCGCCACTGTATCTTCCCCTGCCAAAACACAGCACACAGTGTACTGTGGGGCATGCACAGCGTAACGTTATTGCAATATAAAACATACACAATTTGGGATCAAGATAAATGACGGATTTAGATTGACGTAGAGGTTGATGACCCTCAGACGAGGATTGTTTTGATACTGCTGAAGCTGTTGTTGATGATGTTGTTGTTGTTTACGACGACAACGACGACGACGACGATGATGATGATGATGATGATGATGATGATGATGATGATGATGATGATGATGATGATGATGATGATGATGGTGGTGGAGGTGATGATGAGGATGATGATGACGATGATGATGATGATGGTGGTGATGATGATGATGATGTATACAATGATGATGATGATGATCATGAACATGATGACGACGACGACGACGATGATGACGACGACTTTACTGACAATTAAAAGACCAAGCAGGCTGTACTGTAAACTATCCTAACGACAAATACCGATAAGCAGAATGTACGGCATACAGAACGTAAGAGTGCGAAAGATTAGAAACCGAAAATTGAATTGAACAACCCTCCTCTCAAAACCCACCTCCTTTTTCTTCCAAGCCCCACATAA